TTTGAAAATTGGATAAACCTTTAGCCAACCTGATTAAAAAGAAAAGTTAGAAAATTGAATCACAAGATAAGGAGTGAGGAAGGTGAAATCACAAAACAGAAGGAAAAAAAAGAATTATCAGTGCCTACTGTGCGTTTATATGCTAACAAAACTAAGACAAAAGAGGATTACTTTCAAAAATGGTGAAATATTCATGCGAACTGAAGTGTAAATAGAAATCTTAAATAATTCAGTCTCAGAAAAGGAAATACTGTATTTCACCACATAATCGTTGTAGATTTTATGCCAATTTTTTCCCCCAAAAAAGTGGGGTGTGACCATTATGGTAAGCTTTTTTTCTTAAAATTGTGCTGTTATTACTTGTCTTTTAGTTTCTACCATTCTCACACCAACTTTTCACACACTGAAAACTGTCTTTCCGCAGCTCTGTTTCCATGTTGTTCAGTGAACACAAGCACTTTTAGCTTGAAATCTGCAGAATAGCTTTTATATTTACCCCATAATCAGAAAGAAATGCTTCATATGTTAATGTATCGCAGGCAGATGATGTACAGTTTAGCTGGCATGGGAAGATGCAAATCTTAACTATATCACGTGACTTAATGGCAGCTTTGCCTGCCTATGGTGCATTGGGTTGAGTGACAGTACCATTAGTACTACAGTGCTCTAAACAAACCATGCAAGTTGGCTTTTGGAAATAAATAATGTGGGTGTGCTGAGAATTCTAGGCTCATGGCTCACAATGCACAAGAGATAAATGCATATTCATATGCCACTGGTGAATACATTGCTGCTATGTTTACCTTTTAAGCAATGTGATAAACAGAATTATACCATGTGATGATTATGTGATGAAAGGTTATAAACCAATTTTTGGACTGGGAAAAAAAATTATGTGATGAAACATGGTAGATCTAGTTGTAAAGAAACTATCAAATAAAAAAGCTAACAAAAAACTCTTGGTTCTGATGGATTCACAAGAGAATTCTTATCAAATTTTTAAGGACCCATTAATACCAATGCTACACAGATTATTCTCAAACTGCAAAATAAAAGTACTCTACTAGACTTCTTTTATGAGAAATGTAGTCCTAATACCAAAGCCAGGCAAGATTAAAGTAAAGGGAAACTATGTACTGATATCGTTAATGATCAGTTAAAAATTTAAAAATATAATCTTGTCAAACATGTTGTAGTAAGTCCTTCAAGAAATAATTCATTGTGACCAAGTTGGATTTATACCAGGGATGCAATATGAGGAAAACAACATAATCTTATTAAAAGCAAAAATCCAAAATCACATGATTATTTTGATAGATACAAAAAAAAGGTTTTTGACAAGGTATAAAACTCATAATAAAAACCTTATGACATAAAGGTATAGAGGGACTTTTAAAAAATATCCAAGTATTTGTTGAAAACCAAAAAAAGCAAATATACAGTGGGGATATAGTAGAAGCTTTCATATTAAATATAGGAATAAAGCAAGAATTCCATTCTTTGCTGTTATTAGAAATGCTAACAAGAGCAGTGACATATAATTAAGAAATTAAAGGTGTAGGGGCGACTAGGTGGCGCAGTGGATAGAGCACCGGCCCTGAAGTCAGGAAGACCTGAGTTCAAATCAGGCCTCGGACCAAACACTTGACACTTACTAGCTGTGTGACCCTGGGCAAGTCACTTAACCCCAATTGCCTTAAAAAAAAAAAAAAGAAAAGAAATTAAAGGTGTAAAGAAGTGTAAAAGAGATAAAATCATCCATATTTACTGATGACCCAATAGCTTATTTGGAAAATCCTAGTGAATCAACAGAGATAGTAATCGGCACAATTAGTAGAATCAGCTAAGTTGCAGGCTACAAAATAAACTCAAAGAAATGAACAGCATTTCTGTCTAATGATAACAAAATCCAAGAGGCCATACATAATTCAGAGTCCAATTCAGAATAACTGCAAAATGCTTAAAATATTTGGAGATCAATCAACCACAAAATACTTGTATAGGTTCCAGTGCAAAGTGCTCCTTTAAAAAAATGAATAACAACTTTAATAGCTTGAGGAATCTTCATTATTACATTGGCATGGCTAGGCCTTTAAAAAGGACAACATTATGGAAGTTAATTTATGGTTTTAATACTGTATCACACTACCAAAAGGGTAATACTTTATTGAACTTGATAAAACAATTCATTTTGAAGAAAAAAAGAGCTAGATTATCACAGGAAAAAAGGTAGGAATGAAGGGAATAGCTCTATCAGATCTCAAACTATATTATAAAGCAGCAGTCATGAAAACTACTTGGTAATGGTTAAAACAGAGAAGTAGATCAATGGAACTTAGCCAAAGGAGAATCAGAAACAGTGGAACTCAGTAACACAGTGTGCTTGATATACCAGAAAACAAAAATTAGGAGAGAACTCTGTTTGGAAAGCCCTACTAGGAAAACTGTAAAGCAGTCTAAGCAGAAATTAGGCTTCAACCAGAACTTTTACACCATATTCCATGATACATTCCAAATGGATATGTGACCTTAATATTGAAAGCCATGCCATTATGCAGTTAGAAGAGAAGCAGGTCATATATCTTTTCACAGCATTCTTATTTAACCAAAGTATAAAGGCATTTAGAGAAGATAAAATAGATAGCTAATTACATAGCTTTTGCATAAACAAAACTTCATACTCATAGAATGAGAAAGGAATTGGCCAAATGGGGAAAAAAATGTTGGTATCAGATTTCTGAAATATGAGTTTGGTATCTAAGTTATGTTGACAGCTAATAGGTATACATAAGACCAAAAGTCATTCCCCCCAATAAATATGTAATCAAAGGATATTAACAAACAGTTCTCCAAAGAATCATAATCTGCTAAATAAACCTATAAGAATGCTTCAAATTTCTAGCAACAGAAATATAAATTAGAACATAGCTGAACTTTTACCTCAGATCCCATCTTTTTAATGCCAGTGTCCTTTTGATGATTCTATATGTCTGTGAATCATGGAACATACTAGTGTTAGAAGAATCAACATTGTGAGTAACCCCCAAAATAGTGAAAAGTTATATGATGGATATAAATAGGTCACATGTTACCAATGATGACTTGCATTTAAAAACTGTTTTGAAAGGTATCATGCAGGAAAAATTTATGATTGGAAAAGCTAGTGGGCTGGGCATGTAGTGAGAATGAAAAATAACAGATGCTTAGCTCAGATGTTATGCTGATTTCTTCTTACCAAATGTTAAAAGACTTAGAGCAAAGTCTACTCTTCATTAAGTAGATGCTCTGTAAAAGATTTCATGGAGGATGACATCTGCCTCACGGAATGAGAAAGCATGGATGGATTGCAGTCTGGAACGTTGCTGAAAAAAGCTTCAGTGTAGATGATACCTAGGTCCTTTTGAGTATCAAAGGAGAACACCATATTACTGAAACACTCTTATATCTTCCTTTTTATCAACTATTTTCTACATCTTTTTTCAAAGTGTATTCTTACACAAAAGCTTTTGTAGAGTAGGCAAATGGAATGAGTTCTTTTTTCACAGATCTTGAGCAACCAGCTCTTTCTCCACAATCATATATGTACTTCAGAACTTACCTCTTTAACAACTTGCACAGTCTCCACCTCAAAAAAATGAAAACAGATTTAAAACTACCTGAAGATTTTAAACTTTTAGGGGCAGCTAGGTGGCGCAGTGGATAGAGCACCGGCCCTGAAGTCAAGAGGACCTGAGTTCAAATCCGGCCTCACTGACACTTACTAGCTGTGTGACCCTGGGCAAGTCACTTAACCCCAATTGCCTCACTAAAAAAAAAAAGGTTTTAAACTTTTAACACACACACACACACACACACACACACACACACACACACACTCACACTCACTTTCTCAGTCTCTCACTCTCTCACCCTGTCATCCCTCAGTTCTGTACAACATTAGCTTCAGACATGTTGTATACTTAGGAAATGATGATTTACAATTACCTGTTACTTTAAGGTTTATACTTAACCTGGGCTTCACAAAAGTATGTGACTTGGTTAGAGAGAAGCATGTGTGTCAGATCCTTAAAGTGACACCTCCCCGAAACTTTCAAAGGCTATTTAAGAATTTATAGCAGTGTCATATTGACTTTTATCATAGTTTGGAAAATGTCATCTTTTCTATAGTGATTTTTTAGTAAATTTCCTGAAAATTAGTGACTTGAGAATTCTTTCCAATTACTACAGTTAAATCATGTCATTCTTTAAGTAACAATTGCTTTAAATATGATTGGATCTTCTATGTCTTTTATGATTTTTTTTTTTGGCAACTAGAAATTACTTAATCTATTGATATTTTCAACAGAATATTTTTCAAACATAACAACTTAAATCCCATTTGTGAATTTGGAACTACTTTTCTCAAATGTTAATCTTCATCATAGTTTTTATTAGTTTTAATGTGTTTTTACTTGTGCATTGGCGGGGGAAGGGAGGTTGGAGGACAGGGTAGGGAAGTGAACGATTTCTGAAGACACTTGAGGTAAGTGAGAATTTTTCAGTCAAGTTACAGAGCACTTTCACCTCTTAATGAAGCGACCCTTTGCAGCTGCCTCTACTTTTTTGGTCTCATTCTGTCAGTGATTCCCTGGAAATTTCAGTGCTAAAAAACAAGTCTAACTTTGGACTTCTATTAATCTGTTCATTTCAGAGATGTATAGGCATAGTGATAATTTGTGATATTTTCAGCCTAATTTTTTTTTTGATCATTTAAACTTTAGCTCATGCAACACAGTTCTTTCCAACATATTTAATTAAGATAATAAGTAGCATGATATGCCTGATGGGGGAGCAGTTTTCCTTTTTCTGCTAAATCAGACACTGAGATCAATGACTGTGCGTTAGATTTCTGGCCTGGTGTTATTTCTGCTTTGGAATTAAATAATTATTTTAAATTAGTTGAATTACTTCCTTGTTAAGAACACAATAAGCATGGCTGATCTTAAAATTTTTTTTTAAAGCTAATGATGGAAACTGGTCAGCATCAAAACAAAACTCCAGCACTTCAGTAAAACCAATTCAGACGGCTAATGTGGAATGGAAGGAATCAAACATGGATGGGGCTTTCAAGCAAGTAACAATATCAAGCCAGCCTCTCCCCTTGTCAGCTTTAGCAGGCACTGAAAAGCTGGTATGCAGGTTTTCATCTTTATGCACTGAGCTAACCTCTTTTAACATGTTTTAATTGATTGTTTTCCTTTTGAAGAAAGTCTTTCCCTGGAATTGTCTACATGTCAGAATGTGGCTTATTTTCATATTCTTTCATGACATGTAAAACTATTTTGTATGAGGATAATTGACAAATCATTTATTGCTAATTCTGTAATTTTCATTGCCAGAAGAGTTCTCCAAAAGACTCAGCCTCATTTCTTAAAATAAGTAGTTCTGTATGAAGAGGCAGTATGGTAAAGTGGAGGGCCCCTAACCTGGGAAGGAGGAGTTGAAGGTCTGGCCCCAGCTCAGTTACTGCCTCTGTGAACTTTGTCAGTTCCCTTATTCTCCAGGGATTTCACTCTCATTTCCACAATGAGGGGCCTGGACTGTGTGATGACAGAGGGCCCTGCTGAGGTCTGAAATGAGAGGATGCTCTTCACTAACAGAAGCTTTGCGCTCTCAGGTCACACAACTAGTCACAAGCAGACTGGCACGTGATGTTGTAAGTTAGGTTTTATGTTACGTAACTCCTTGGATCACAAACAACAACTGAACTTCTGTGCCATGGCTGGAGAAGGTCTTGTTCACAGGGCACTTATGAGCTGTGTTTCTTTTGGTTTTGGAGTATAGGCCACATTTAAAAAACTTGTCACTCAAATCAAATCGCCAGCTCATCAGATGAGTTTGAGTTTGTAATTTTTTATTTTATGAAAATGACTAAGAACATGAGTTTCCTTGTTTAATCCATTTGGGAAAAGATGCTCATTGTCATTAGCTTACATTTATAGAGTGACTTCATGTTTACAAAGTGCTTTATAAATAGCAGTCAGGCAAAGAAAATCAGTACTATAGAGACTTGTTCATAAGCCTTTAATTATGGACCTGATTCTTGTAGTCTGGCGGGAACAGGAGAACCATCTCTTTTCCCTTTTATTAAGTCATTAATGCCAGTGTGTTAGAGTAGTATTTAGTATGGTCAGTGATACCCTAATGACTTCAGTTAATGAATTGTCAAAACAAAACAAAGTTGTATACAATCTGTTCACTTTTCACCAACAGAATTAGGTCTATGCAATAGAACCCCTTTCTTTTTGGCTTATGTATGTACTATTAACATTTTCTGGGTAACAAACTGACTTGGTGTTGTTTAAAATCTTGCTTTTCTTGTCTTTCACTTGTAACAGGTAGAAGTATGCTTAATTTTTAAACAAGCACTTTTTCATCCTCTCCCTTTCTCTTTGAAATCTAAATTTAGGGCATTGATATTGGGAAAGCCCCACCCCCCATTCCGGGTACAAGTAAACAGTTACCTCCGAACTATGGAACATACCCAAGCCCAGTTACTTTGGGTCCAGGCTCCACCAGTTCTTTGGAACGGAGGAAGGATGGCAGCCTCCCCAGATCTGGCACAGGCGTAACGAATCGGCAGAAGTCTGCTCCCCTACCCTCTTCAAGCAACATACACCAGCCTAGCTCTTCGCAGCAGATTCAGCAGAGGATTTCTGTACCTCCGAGTCCTACGTATCAGCCGTCCGGTCCTCCGTTATTTCCATCTGGAGACGGCAGGCCTGATCTCCCATTAACTGTGGCTATTAGACCGTTCTTGGCTGACAAAGGGTCAAGGCCTCAGTCTCCCAGAAAAGGGCCTCAGACAGTGAACTCAAGTTCCATTTATTCCATGTATCTTCAGCAAGCTGCACCTCCTAAGAATTACCAGCAGGCTGTGTATAATACTCTGAATAAGTCCGTTAAAGCAGGTAGATTGTATTCATATTATTTTTTTCTTGGCAGAAAAAAAGTCGTGCTTAAAATTTTATAATCACCATTTATATCTTAATATTTTGTTCATGTGTCATTTGAGGTTAAATATAGGATATGGAGTGGGGTGGGTAGATAGGGGAGAAAGTATATTAAAGCAGCCTTGCAAATTGATAATGAACAAATTCACCTCATTATCTATCTGCTTCTAGTCTATATTTTAACTTCCTTGAAGTTCAGTCAGATAGACATAGAGCATACTTCCTGGATAAGTGGCGTCTTAAAAACTTTTATCTTACCGTGAAAAAGTCCTGATGTTTCAGCAAGAGCTCCCAGCTTTGCATTTCTTATATGCCAAGATGTTCCTCTGTTTCACTACTACAGTGGCAGAGACTGCTAGCATCAGTACCCCAAGCCGGAGAAGGAGGGGGAGGGTAGGAGCAGAAAGTTCTTCTCCCTCCTTTATTGTGGTGGGGGAAGAGGGGGAGTGTTGCTACCACTACACAGGAGGAGAGGAGGCAAAAGGAGCCTCCTACTACGACGAGCCATTCCCTGGACCGTCAGGTGAGGAAGGCACTGGTTTGGGTTCAGTTTGTTTCAGCTACCCAATGAAAAATTACATATTGAATTTCAGGTATTGTAGGGATGCAAATGAGTGTGTGTAAGAGTATCCAGGAGAAAAACTGGCAATATCTCTGTGAATATCACTGAGGCAAATGTCATGTTCTCACCCTAACAACAAATAAACCCATGGTATGTCAGGTCCAGTGTGGGACCCAACAAGAAAGTCTAAGATGGCTTTGGTTGGGAGGGGAGATAAGGTTTCAGGACTTTTTTGGGGGTGGGGGAGACATAGCTTTCTGCTGGGCATCCAGAATAGCTGGTCCAGTTCAGGAATCTAGGGTACCATTGGAAACCAAGGTTTTCACAGAGCATCCTAGAAACCCAGGTTTTTCAACAGGGTTATTCTTCTATTGGTTCTTAGATAAATAGAACCCACAGTTTTGTTTGTTTTGTTTTGTTTATTTTATTTTGGTGAGGCAAATGGGGTTAAGTGACTTGCCCAGAGTTACACAGGCAGTAAGTGTTATGTGCCTGAGGCCAGGTTTGAACTCAGGTCCTCCTGACTTCAGGGCCGGTGCTCTATCTACTTCACCACCTTGCTGCCCAGAGCCCACAGTTTTTTGTGTGTTTTTTTTTTTTTTTTCAGAGGGAAGAATTCTTTCACAGGGTCAGATTTTCAGAAGTAGCTATTACAAGTTTATTATTTTTTTTCCTTATGGAATCCCTTTCATGCATTAAAATCAAATTTTGTTTATGTTCAGCTTATCACAAACACATCTGCTGTGCAGTGCAGTAGTTCATCTCTGTTTTCTCCCTTCTTTCTCCCTCTTCTCTTTGTCTTTCACTCTGTGATTTCCTTGACATAGCAAATCCCCAGTGAGGAAATTCCCGCAACTACTGTGGGCTGGCACCTGCCCTGCAGCCTTAAGACTGAAGGAGCTGCCTGGGCACTGAGAGGTTGACACTATAGAGTGTTTAACCTTTTTTTTTTTTAAACCTTTACCTGTGACTTCACTGGGATAGGGCCCTTCTGGTGAGGACCTTGCCCTGGCAATACTTTGTCTGCATCTTTGCAGTCCCCGAAAAGTGACCACTTCCGTTCTTCATTAGTGACCACACCCTCGTGGGCACCGTGTCACTTGATGCACTCTTCACCTGGCTTTTTGTTTCTTTCAGTTTATGGGAAGCCCGTCTTACCATCTGGCTCCACTTCTCCTTCACCATTGCCGTTTCTTTACGGGCCTTCGTCCTCAAACACGTCGCAGCCACAGCCTCCTTCTGAACTTACTGAGAAAGATCAGGAGCAAGAGAATATCCCACCATCTGGTGAAAACAGTAACGTGGAAAACATCCCTCGGCCCCTCAGTCCCACTAAACTCACCCCCATTGTCCACTCACCTCTTCGATATCAGAGTGATGCGGATCTGGAAGCTCTGAGAAGGAAACTGGCCAATGCCCCTAGACCCTTAAAAAAACGCAGTTCCATCACAGAGCCAGAAGGTCCTAGTGGACCAAATATCCAGAAATTGCTATATCAGCGCTTCAACACCCTTGCTGGTGGGATGGAAAGTGCACCTTTCTATCAGCCAAGCAACTCCCAGGACTTCATAGGCACCTTAGCAGATGTTGATAATGGGAATGCGAATACCAATGGAAATCTAGAAGAACCTGTGCCCACGCAGCCTACAGTTCTTCCACCTGAAGAACCTCCGCCATCATCTGATGCCAATGATAACGAGTTACCATCCCCTGAAACTGAGGGACTGATTAGCACCGAAACCACCAGCCAAGGCCCCGAGACCACGGAAGATAACAACAACAACGTGGCTGTGTTCCCAGCTAGTGAGCCGGCGCCCCGCCCCACTGTGGAGGTCAGTTCTCCGAGAGAAGAGGAGGCCCCAGCTTCACCAGCTCCCTCCCCTGCTGGTCTTCCCCCTGCCTCGACAACGACTCTGGTGAGTGACCCACAGTGATCTTTTTCAAGAGAACCTAATGCTCGGCGGGGTACCTGACCTGTAAGGTCAGCGGGAGCTGGGAGAAGTCTGCTTGTCTAGCCTCCTTCCTAGGCACGTCCTAGCCCTGATGGGGCACATTTCAGCCGGGAAGGTCAGTTCCATTCAACAAATGCTTATTAAGTGTTTGCTCCATGCTAAGTGTTGGGCAATCCTAAGACAGTAAGGAAACAGACCCTGCCCCCAAGAAGCTTACATTTTGCTGAGGGATTCAGTGTGTGCACTGGTAAATAAGTAGGAGGTGATCTGAAGAGCTAAATATGATTAGTACCTGGGGGAGAATCAGAAGTTTCTGAAGTGGCAACTTCCATGTCAGGTGATGAGATGGGGATTCTGAGAGGGAGAAATGAGGAAGTGCATTTGAGCCAATTGCCAGGGCAATTCACATGGGAGATGGAGATGAAAAGTTGAGTTCTCGTTTGTAAGGAACATAGGCTGTGATGTGAAAGAAGTCTGGAAAAGCCCTTAGAAGCCAAGCTGAGAAGTTTATATTTTGTCCTAAAGGCGACTGAAACCATGGAAGATTTTTGAGGAGCATGTGGAAGAAAGGTGGTGACAATGGTTTGGTCTGATTCTGATAGCCATCTGCCTTCTTTACAACAGGAAGGCATTGGTGACTGTGAGGATGGCCTTAAAAGGGGAAGAGAATGGATGCAGGAAAACTTGGCAAAGTTGAGGCAGGAGGTCTTTACCCAGGGTATTGGCTGTGGGAATAGAAATAAGGAGATGGACATGAGAGACGATGTGGAGGTATAATTGACAAGATGACAGCTGTTTGGATATTGAGGATGAGGGATAAGGAGAGGATAACTTCAAGGTTATGAACCTGGTTGATTGGGAGAATGGGCAGTGCCCGCACTAGAAATAGGGACGCTTTGGAGGAAGGACAGGTTGAGAGGGGAAATAGAATTTATTTTGTTTTGGATATGTTGTGTTTGAGATACTTGTGGGATGGGGAAAGGTTGGGGATATTTGAAGAAACTAGGGAAGGAGCCATTTGATAGAAGGACAGAGAGAAAGAGGAAATGAGTCCAGGGGGCAGTCTGCTAAGAGAAAATAGAAGGGGGATGGGATCAAGCACAATTGCCTTCCAGTTCTAAATCTTTCAAAAGAGGGGGCAGGATGCAGAATGCCTAATACTTTCTAATTCTAAAATTCTAGAGCTAAGTATGACTATATTCTTGGTTTTCTTCTTCTTGAGCTCAGTAAGCCATCTGATTTTTTAAAAATACGTACACTTATGTTTATTAATGATCCTTCCAGCTTTAAATTCTTTGATGTAAAATTTACAAATTGTCATATATAGTAAGTTCATAGATGTTAAAAACAGTGACTTGTAGGGTCCAAGGAGACTGACATCAGAGCCTCATCTGGTCAGTAGGTATGGGTTTGGGGAGAAAGTGGGGAAGGTTTCTTGGCAGCCCAGGCAGAGAGAGGAGGAAGGTATGCCAGGGGAAGGGGTGAGGAGAACAAAGGCACTGAAGCAAGAAGCCCTGGGGCAGTTTTGTAGAGTCATCCAGTTTGGCTACAAGATGGAATATCTATTAGAGAACTAATCAGGGATAGGAAAAGAAAGAAAGAAAGAAAGTAAGTGGGGTTATTGTGAAGAGAGCCTTGAATATCAGGGTAAGTAGTTAGCACTTGATCTGGGTAGGCAGCTTTAAAACCTAGGAGTTACTTGACAAGACCTTTGTATTTGGAAGATAAAATGATAGATTGAGTTCTTGAAGAGTTCTTCCAGCCCCAAATCCTATAATCCTTGCATGACTCTGCAGGAGACTTGGTCAGAAAAAGGACGGAAGGGCAGGATTCCTGTTAAGAGGCTGTTCAGTAGTCTAGGGTGTTGGTGGGGAGAGAAAAGGGAGGGTACTGATGGGAGAGAGATTGTAGATGTAGCGTTGGGAGGTAACTAACTGATGGGATGAGGCGGGTGAGAGGGAGGGAAGGAGTAGTCAGAAATCATTCCAGTGTTTCCGGTTCTCATGGTTTTATAGAAGATGTTTCCCAAACCTCTGAGGACTTTTATTAACAAAAGTTGAATCAAAACATATGCTTTCTTCACCGCAGATTAAACGCACAAACCTGAAGAAACCAAATTCTGAACGGACTGGTCATGGACTGAGAGTAAAGTTTAATCCTTTGGCTTTGCTCTTGGATGCATCTTTAGAAGGGGAATTTGACCTGGTGCAAAGGATAATCTATGAGGTGAGCCTCTAAGCACTAAGAGCCTTTCACTCTTCTGGGGGCAATGAGAAAAGGCTCTTTGTGCCTTCACAACAGACATCATTTCTCTTAGGTGGAAGATCCCAGCAAGCCTAATGATGAAGGCATCACTCCTTTACACAATGCAGTGTGCGCCGGCCACCACCACATTGTGAAGTTTCTGCTTGATTTTGGTGTTAATGTGAATGCAGCTGACAGTGATGGATGGTGAGAGGGTTAACTTTTTTTATTCCATCTAGGACTCTTGCCAAATTGATTTTAAAAATTGACTTGTAGAGATTTTCCTGTGTGAGGAAAGCTTTTTGCAAACCTGTTAGTCCTTCACGAAGGAGTCATGCCATAGTGGGAGAATGGTAGGAATGTCAGATTTGTCATCAGAAGACACACACTGAACCCTTGCTCTGCTCCTTGCAGACTCTACAGCCTTGTGTCACTTAGCCCCTTGAGGCCCAAGTTTCCATGTTTATAAAAAGATTTGGATGATATGATTGCTAAGCTGCCATTGTTTAATACTTGTAAGATGCTATATATATGAATTACTGTTATTAATAATCCTGTCAATACCTGTTTCAAAACTTATTACTTAAAAGAAAAATTTTTTCCAGAAATGTTAGCTCAAATAGTTTGCTAATAGTGCCATAAAATAGAAGTTATTTGTAATTCTATAAATGTAGGTAAAGTAGCCAATAAGGACTATTGAGTAATGGCATCTTAGAATTTCGAAGAGATCTTTCTTTGTTTCAACCTACAGGAAACCAAGGACCAGAGAAAGGGACTGATAATTGATGTTAGAGGCAGGATGATAACTTAGCTGGTGTCTGATGTGCCCCATGTTTCACACGTCCATATGTCCACATCCATTCGTCCATCCTTTCATCCATTCATTCGTTCACTCACAATGTCCCCATCTGCATGTGGGAAAATCTGCTTTGCTTTCCTGTCATCTATTTCTCTTCCTCTGATTTCAGGACACCTCTACATTGTGCAGCTTCATGCAACAGTGTCCACCTCTGCAAACAACTGGTAGAAAGCGGAGCAGCAATTTTTGCTTCAACTATTAGTGACATCGAAACTGCAGCTGACAAGTGTGAAGAGATGGAAGAAGGCTATATTCAGTGCTCCCAGTTTTTGTATGGTAAGGCCCATTTGTATGTGGTTGGGGAAGGGCAGGGTTTAGAGTTTGTGTCTGTGTGTGCGTGTGCTTGCGTGCGTGTGTGTGTGTGTAAAATCTATAGACACTAGGGGCAGCTAGGCGGCATAGTAGGTAGAGCCAGCCTTGGAGTCAGGAGGACCTGCGTTCAAATCTGGCCTCAGACACTTGATACGTACTAGCTGTGTGACTCTGGGCAACTCACTTAACCCGATCGCCTGAGCAAAAAATAAATAAATAAATAAATGAGTAAATAAGTAGATAGAATAAAATAAAATCTATAGACATAGTTTCACTGTCTTTGAATATTATTACATCTGAAAAGCCTCAGTATTATCAGCTCAGTCATGAGATGCTAGTGACTTTCTTTTGCAAATGAGTCAAGTAAGCACATTAACTTTTTTTTCAAGTTAAGGAGAATAGGTAAGTCTGACAGGGAGGGAAAAGTCCTGTATATCATAGGAAGGTAAGGAATTGATTGCAAACTAATGGAGAGAGCAATGAAAAAGAAACCAGGAGAGGTCATTGTGAAAGGAACTGAATACTACAGGGAAAGAGGGGTCCATGGGCCCAGTCTGGAAAGAGTAAGCCTGGTGCAGTTGTACTCACAGCTCCCATCTAGAGCAGGACCATCTGGGGGATTGCTGTGGCTGTCAGCTTCCGCAGTCGTGCTTGCAGAGTCAAAACAATGACCTTTCTCTAGCACTACCTAGCTTCACTAATAACCCCCAAATATACATGCTTTCAGCTTGCCCCCATGGAAAACAGGGACCTATCATGTGCAGGGCCTGGTGTCTAAGCCTGAGAAGAAATAGGTTGCTGGTCTGGGCAGAGAGGGAAGGGTCCAAAAATAAATAAAGCATAGCCTATGCCCTCAAAGAACTACATACATATTTAAGGGTGGAAAGAAGTGGGAAGGGAACAAACTTGTTGGCTTATAAACGTTTAGGACCCACACCACAGCAGACAGACGTTCTGGTAAAAGAGTGTTGGAGCCTTTAACATTTGAAAATTAGTCCTAAATCTCCTGCCTGGTGAAGGGTAATTCCAGTTAATGTCATGTGCTACCTTTCCTTATTAATAGTAAATGGTCTCTACTAAGAGCCTATGAACAGTGTGATACAAGCCTTATAATTTTTTTTCTTTTTAGAAAGTTTAATCCCAAGTTTATGATACTTCACTTTGACATTTTAGAACAATGACACATCCTTGTCATAATTTCCATGAGGTTTCTGTGAATGGTCCGACCATTTTGTTGAAATGTAAGAAAGCTCATTATCCTTTGAGAGCTTCTCACTTGCCCAGATCTTACTTATTCATTTAAACCTCCCTGACCTCCACGTGAAATAATCGAGTCTGAACTGCTTGTATGTTTCCTGTGTGGCTCTACTGAAGCTTCACGCCTTGAGCAGACTCATTCAGTAGTCTGACTATATAAGACCGTGTGTTTCAAATACTTGCTTTTTATCATTTGTTTTTGATAACAGGTGTCCAGGAAAAGCTGGGTGTGATGAACAAAGGAGTGGTATATGCTCTTTGGGATTATGAAGCTCAGAACAGCGATGAGCTGTCATTCCACGAAGGGGATGCCATTACTATCTTGAGGCGTAAAGATGACAATGAAACAGAATGGTGGTGGGCTCGCCTTGGGGAAAGAGAAGGTTATGTGCCTAAAAACCTACTGGGGGTATGTGTCTTGTTATATATGTTATATAGCCTTCCTTTTCTTATATTCTTCTCTGTCCCAAAGGCTGGGTCAACACCCATGTAATGTATAGTTATTAAGTGCATTTATTATGTGTAAGGTTCTGTCCTAAGCAGAAGGAGGTACAAAGATAAATCAGACATTATCCAAATCATTTTTCTTGTTTGCCTCAGTTTCCTCAGCTGTAAAATGGTAATACTCATTAACATCTTCCTCACAGGTGAAAATCAGATGAGATATTTGTAAAAAGACTTAGCATAGTGCCTGCCGAACAGTAGGCACCCCAGGGAATTTCGATAAACATGTTAACTTGAAAACAGGAGAGAAGTATAGCTTGAATCAAGTCTGAGAAAAGTCCACCAAAACTCAGTAGCTGAAAAGGACCTTAGAAGTCCACCCTATACCTATTAGGAAACCTCTTCACAACATCTGACAGTTGGTCACCCAGCATCTGCTTACAAGGATCCAACATAGGAAAATCATCATCTTCCCATGCAGTCCATTCCATTCTCTTTACCTCATTCTAAGTGTGAAATACTTAGGAATTAATAAGCCAGCGTTTATTAAGCAGGACTATGAGTCAGGCACACGCTAAAGGCTGGTGATACAAAGAAAAAGTTAAGATAATGAGGCCAGGGCCTCAGTGAGTTTACATGCAAATAGTCAGTAAACATTAATTAAGTGCTTACTACTTACTGCCACCTGTGCTAACTCCTGGGGACGTAAAGAAAGGGAAAAGAGAGTTCTTGCCCTTGAGAAACTTACAATAATAAAACAGGCATGAGGAATGAAGATATCCAGGATTTACAAAATCTCCATAAGTAATTGATTACGAAAGAAAATATAAGTAATCGATTACAAAAGAATATCATCTATATTGAATGTAAAATCCCCAAATGTGATCCTTGGTAAAGGCCCTTACTAGGGTGTCATTGGGCCCTGGGGGATGTAGAAATAGCCCAATGGGGCAGGATTGGGTGGAGGGGTGGAGAGGATTTAGAAGCCTTCCAAACTCCAGCCCCTTCCACAGCCTCTGATTGTGGCTTTCTGAGGGAACAAATTGCTTTCCCTGGCCTAAAATCATGAGCCATGAGGAAAGTTATCAAAAACTATTACCTCTTCAAATCCTCCCCTCCAAAAAAGGGTCAGCAGTTTGTAGGATTTGTAACCAGAAGGTACCCTATAGAGCACCTGCTGGTTTAGCCACTTCATTTTTCAGATAATTAAACTGAGGCCCAAAGAGGCAACATTTGACACACAGTAAGTTTATTGCATAGTTAGGACTTCAGCTCAAGATTTTGTCTCTAGAGCCAGTGCTTTTTCTCCTTTTCTTCATTGCCTTTTCCCTCAGCTGATTAGGGAATGAACAATATATTATCCCCTGGGCTCCAGGTCAGATGTGAAATGTTTCTGGAAAGACTGTAGTTGCCTTCAACAAATCCACACCCCTTTTCTCTCAGTAGAAAAACATGTTAACAGTTTAAAGAGAGGAAGTGCTCTTTAAAAACAAGGACAAGGTGGTGCAGTGGATAGAGCACTGACCCTAGAGTCAGGAGGACCTGAGTTCAAATTTGGCCTCAGACACAACACTTACTTGCTATATGACTCTGGGCAAGTCACTTAATCCCAACTACCTCACCGAAAAAAAAAAAGAAAGAAAGAAAAGAAGTTCTTTGCCTAATAAGTTATGTTCTTGTGTGAATCAAACATTAAGCTGCTGTTTTTGATTGCTTCTGGCTCGTGCTAATCAATTCTGATCTATTTTTCTAGCCTTGAACCATTTTGATGATGAGTATTTTATCAGGGTATAGTTTTAGGCCTAGTAATATATCTAAGTGCAGAGCAGTAGTGTCCAAAAGTTTCAGGTGCTGTGGGGAGGGAGTGTTCAAGAATAGAATGGGGGCTGCTTCTGCTTTTTTGAAAAGGGTGTTTGACTGCCCTGAAGTGTTTTAAAGGCACTTATTAATAATCAATGTCATTTCCCACTCCTAGCAGTTGTTCCAATTCAATTTTCTTTCTTTCTAGTTATATCCACGTATCAAACCTAGACAGCGAACCTTAGCTTGAACCTATGGAGCAGTGCAGTTTTGCCATTACCAGAAGTCACTGAAGACCTATCCTACCAAGAGAATGGAAGCTGAAGAACTCTCATTTTAATGGTGCTCTCATTAGCAGAAGAAGCATCTGCAGTTTGTAAGTGAGGCCCTTCCTTCTAATCTGCCAGCATCCATGCATGGTACCTATATGTCCATGAATTCTGTATTTTGCCAGTTACACCAAGTCAAAATAAACAAAAGGTCTTCAAAGCAATCACCCCTATTGCCAATCCCATAAACTAGTTGTTAGTTGCCAAAAACTAATTCAAATATATGTAAAGAATTTCTTACATCGTAAAGTGTTACAGAATTATCAGGTGATAGTCATCATCCAGAGTTGAGAAAAGGCATTTGTGCACCCTAGGCATGGTTGGAAGATTGCCCGAGGGGCTTAAGGCTAACACATTTGGCTTTTATTTATAACAATTGATTCCTTCAAGCCATTGAGAATAGAGTTTTCTGGCATTCAAAGTGTGGTTATGAAGTAATCAAAGTTCCCTATAGCTTCATGTGTTGTGCTCTCAACCCCTAGTTAGTCCACATTTTGCTTAATTCTAATGCCAGTAAATTTTTTAAAATGGTTATTATGCATTCTTTCCCTTTTAGCTACTTAAGACAGATTCCTGCAAACTATATCACGATTGCCAAGTCACAGGCTCTCTGTTGTAGCACCTCTTTTCTTGTGTTTCCCTTTTCCCTCCCCACTACTCCATCTTCTCTTTATTTACCAAAGGATCTCTTATGGGAATTTGTCAGTGTTAATTACAAAATACAGATGTTCTGTCTTAGATCTAGATTTTGATATCCTGTTTTCCATTTTGTTGTGGATCTGCCAGAGACTGTGATTTACTTCCACTGTTGATTTATTTAAGTGTTTGTATTTCTTTGAGACCTCTGGTATCAAGGAGCTTTAAAAAAAAGTTTAAATGAATGGTTTTATTTATTTGAAGAGCCTAACCTAAATAGGTTCCCTCACTTCCTGGGTTGACCAAGTTTGTTTATAAAATCTTCACTGATATGTGTTTTTTAATACTAATAGCTTAAATTTGTTCTGAATCAGAAAGCAGTCAGTAACACTGGAGCTAGAGTAAAATTAAGTCAAGGTTTAAAGATATGTCCAAGTAGATGGAAATAAAATAGTTGAGCAGAGTCAGAGCTTGTGTAAGTGACTAAGGGATGCAGTGCTAGCAGCTGAAGGACTGAACTAACACTGAGAACATTATTCAGTGGTAGAGTTGTGGTTAAAAAAAAATGAATCTATGAAATGGAAATTCTAAACAAGGGTAAAAGACAGGTGTATTGAGCCAGGAGGAGGACAGTTGCTATGGTTCTCAACAGTTCTACACCTAATTCTGGGCCAGTTATGCAATAATGTTGTCTGAAATTTTGTAGGTAAGAGGAAACTAAAGCACTTCACTTGGAGTTTGAACTATATGTATATGCTTTTATATACCAAAAGTATTTTTTTTTTTAAATTTTATCTTTGAGTTGTAGCTATGTTGGAAATATGTTTCTCATTAAAGTGTAGGATTTTTTCCATGTATAAGTCTTGTGTATAATTTATATATGTATATCTATATATATATATATATCTATATGAAAACAATTGATGCAGTGCTGTAACTGACTACATTTTAGCATTACCTGTATATATATATATGTATATATTTATATTGTGGTGATGGAATGTAAAAGGATATTGTTGGGAAAAAAAACTTACTATATGAATGTGACAAAATCACAATTTCTAAGAGCCTTGATAATGCTAATTCTAATGTAAATGTGCACAAATAAACTATGGTTATCCCTGATTTGGGTTTGACTGTATCTGTGTCTGTTCTCATGAAGTACCTTTGAAGTCTGTTCTAACTTGTCCTGGAGCCAGGAATTTCTTCTATGCTAATCTTCTGACAAATGGGGCAGTTTTTTCCTTTAGAAATGATTTTTGGTTATTACCTCAAACCCACTCTCCTAACTATTAATAACAGTTATGCTCTGTAATGGAAAGAATTTTAGACTTAAACATCTGGGTTGTAATCTCAGTTCTGCCATTTACTACGTATATGGCACTGAATAAATCACCTCCCATTTCTGGGCTTCAGTTCCTTTGCTGGTAAAATGAAGAGGTTGTACTAAAGATCTGAAGGTCTCTAGAAGTTACAAGACAAGAAAATGGAGCATGGCTATGAATTTTTCAAAATAGTTTTTAATCATGTTTTATGCACAAATTACTGTACAATCATCTTAATAAGTGAAAAGTATAAAACCTGGACCACAAAAGCTACAAACTTTCCTCTCAGTAAGTATCAAAAGTTTGTTTAGGTCCAATTAGTGACATCATAAAAGAACATTGTACAAAACAATCTAAGGCAGGTTTTATTGGCAATGAATAGCTCAACATCAGGATGTTTCACCTCCAAATATAAAGCAAAAATCCTGAGTGATTTACTCCCATAAGAATGCAAAAAAGGACACTGAAATGACCTACTAGTAAGTACTCTATAGGAAACCCAGTATATTATTATATAAACACTGTAGAGATTATGCTAAAAATACCTGATAGTTTAACAGTAGTATGGGTCAGATTCTCCTTCAGCCCATAATAAGTACCAATGAGATAAAGTATACAAAGTCAAATGTGAAGCTGCATTTAAAGCATTAATAAACTGTATACATATTGCACTAGATCAATGAACACTTAGGTTCTTCCAAACACTTTGATTGCATTTCCCAGCACTTACAGAATTAATCAGCTGTGAACCTATAGGAAGCTTCACAGAGCTTCTCAAACACTTCCATGATCATTGGTCCCGGGATTCATAGAGGAGTTTGGCTGCCTGTATTGCAAAGAAATAAGAGTAAAGATAACGAATGTGTTCAACAGCCAACTCCTAGGTCAGGAGCATCAGAAGCAAGAAGGGCAAAACTAAACATTAGTAATATCTAAATCTCTTTTCTTTGGTGTACAGCAACCAAATCAAAGGTCTGTTTAATATAAAGTAGAAAATTAGCTGTCATAACCACTCTGAGTTCAATGCAGAAACTTGGCCTATTCATATATAATTGAACTGACTTAGGCAATGTTTAACTTTCACCTATACAGAGCAGCAAACGAATGTGCCTTTAAGGAAAAGATTTCCTAAGAATTACTACTACTAACCAGCATATTCACATCCTCTCTCAGAGCCAAGTCAATACTTAGGTATTTTGTTCAAAAAACAATATTCCTATGGGAAAAAAAAGGACTACTTGAGAGGTAGCAGTAGATCTGGACTCCTATCAGCTGTGCTAACAGTATAACTTGGGAGAAGTTCACGTCTCCTCTCTGCCATTCAATTTCCTCGTGTTTAAATTGAGGGTAGATGATGCCTTTGAGGTTCCTTCCTATGCTTTATAAAGACAGCATTGGGGGCTGGGCCCTTGAATGATTATTTGCTCTAGGTTAGCCCAGGCTTAGTCACTTCGGTGGCCTGAGATGTACTTATTCTGGCCATTCAACAAATCTACTATCTATATAGTAGGTGCTCAAAGAAATATGAAGACAAATTAAGGGCACTGAGGTTGGAATAGGTGAAATGGCAGGCTTGGGAGTCAGGAGAGAGACATAGTTTCAGGTCTTAGTTCTACAGTTTAACACTTGCATAATCTTAAGCAAATAGTTTCCCCTGAGACTTAATTTCTTCATTGGTAAAAATGGGGGTGATAATACACTACCAATGTGTTAGCAGTGAAGGAGAGTGCTTATGGACATGAGATGTGTTACAAACATCCTGATAAGTTTGTGACAAGCGACTCAGCTATCTTTAGAACGACTTAATTGCCAAAAACAAAACAACAATTACTATTTGTGGTTTCCCTGTGCACTAGTGTTAAAAAACAGGGCAAATAAAGGTCTTATCAACAAGCATAGCTTTGTTTCCATGGCTATAACTAGCATCAAATTTGCTGCAGAAGAGGGATGCCTGCCTTCTCATTTCTTGGCTCCCCCCCCCCAAACCAAACCCCTAAAAACAAACAAAAAACACCTTCAAAGTATCAGATTAAGCTCCATTTCCTTTTGAAATGAATAGAGGAACACTTGTTTTTACTGAGCAAGAGCCTTCCCAGATCAGCTGGACTTTGAATTTTTAAAAACCACTAGAGACCTGGAACCTTGCCTTTAAAATTAGACCTGGGTTGTCCTGATTCAATGAATTCTCAACTAGCCTATTTCTTTGTAAGCAAGGGACCCAATCAGGGTGGGCAGCTGTCTTGTGACTAGCTTGCAGAATGGAAAGCCTGTTTACTCTGCTCAGAATTAACTACTCCATCTTCTACCTACTCAGCTATCGCTTCTGATTTACTCCAAAAGATGCTGAGATATGGCAGGCCACTCTCTTTCTCCTCTGGACACCAAAATGACTTAAGCTCTAACCAGGTGGAAAACTTCACTTAATCCTAATGAAGTCCTAATTAATCAGTCAGTAAAGAGTAGGTGACAGCTAGCTTTGGTTTGGAAAATCCCCTTTACATTAAATAGATAACTGCAAACCTAATTTTAACCAACTTTGGGGAGGTACTTTAATGGAACTTTTCCCAAGGGGCTTTGTATAACCCTCTTAAACCTTCTGTTGGGCACCAGTAACTAGCCAGGTGGAAGCAAAGTGAGTGCTTTACAAAGTACCTTATGCATGGCTGCTAACCAGGTGGCTGACTGCTTCTTGTTAGAGTTAGAGTCTTCGCTGGCAGTGAACTTCATCTGGGTCACATCCTGAGCCCCCGGCTCCTTGTACTGGAGAAGCATACCAGTGGCTCGAGCATTGCCTCCTGGAAAAGGAAAAGATAGAAAGCCCTTCCTTAACTGGCATCGATTAAGTATGGGGCCCCTTTCTCTGAGGAACAAACACTTAACTCCAGACAGTGTCTTAGTAGGGCCTGTCCTCTTACCTGTTCAAGGTATCTACTTAAATGCTGAATCTGTTTCTTCTATAGAACACCAAGGCCTGTTATCTCATGCTACTCTTAAAACATAAGGTTTGCTCTCTACCATCCTCAGACATTTCTAAATAGTCTAAAAGATGTCAGATGATTGTTTTGATGCTCTCTGCAAACACACAAATGAAATTCTCCTATTTTATTTCATTTCATTGGGAGCTCCCAACCACCCAAGCTAGTCTGGTGAACTGTCCCCTTTGACATGGACTAATGCTAGCATTTTTCTTTTTGTACAGTCATTTTAGGATAGTTTAAAGATGGCAGCATTCCCCCTATCTTCCTACCGGAACTCCATTCTTCCCTACTCTCTTTAGCAATTAGTAATTCTAGGGTGGGTAGGACACAAAGTCACTTAAGTGAAGCCTCCAAAGCTATCTAAAGCAGTTCTTATGGAATAGGCCCAGCTTCCTGATAGAAGCAGTTTTAGGATTAAATGAATTGGACCATATATAGTCTTTCCCCATGGCTGATGGACTGGATATTGGGAACTGATTGGCACCAAAATGCAGAGCTACAGAGCTAAATCTCACTGGAAAAGAAAGTACTCTGTAGTAGTCAAAAAAGCTAACATCTTGGGCCACATTCCAGGAATAAGGAAAGCCCTAGTCAGGCCTCATCTGGAGTTCTGTGTTAAATTCTGGGTGCCACAGTTTAAGGATATTAATAAGCTAGAGAATATGAAGAGGAGGGTGAGCATGATGCTGAAGGAGCTTGAGTGCATGTCACATGAGGATCAGTTGAAAGTCTGGAGAAGGGGCAATTAGGTGGCGCAGTGGATAGAGCTCTGGCCTTGGAGTCAGGAAGACCTGAGTTCAAATCCAGCCTCAGACACTTGACATTTACTAGCTGTGTGACCCTAGGCAAATCACTGAACCCCCATTGCCTAACAAAAAACAAACAAACAAAAAAAAGAAAGTCTGGAGAAAAGAAGACAAAGTCTATGAAGGACCCATGTAAGACAGGGATTAAATTTGTTTCATTCAGCCACAGAAGGCAGAGCCAAGGGCCATGGGTGGAAACTGCACAGGCAGATTAAGGCCTGATACAGAAAAACTTGATTAGGAATATCCAAAAATTGGAATGGGTTGCTTTGAGAGGTGGCAGGTACATTCCCACTTTGCAGCAGATTCTGGATTAGGTTTGTTTGGGTAGGAATTCCTTTGAAGGACTGGTCGGGCCAAATGCAATATCCCTTTCAACTCTAAAATTCTGTGATTATAGCTATGGCTTTATGGGGAAAAAATCCACAGAAAGCACCAAACTTCATGACACTCCACCCACTTCTGCCAAATACCTGCACCTCTGCCACGTCTAAATAGCCACTGGCCTACTTTTATTACCTGCTTCATTTAAGGACCATTTACTTAAAACAGAAAGTTTCAGTACTGGGGGGAAAAACTACCAAAATATTAACTTAGGCAACAAAATGGTCTTGCTCAAACATACAGTGCTTTAAAGTGCTGGACCCTGGCCTGAGCATAATACATTAGTTAATGCAACCTTCCAAATAAGTTGTAGCAAATTCACCTTGAAAAAGACTGGACAAAGGAAAGACCTCAGTACAGAAGAAATCTCATTTTGGTTTCTATGCCTGACTCCCTTGACTGGCCAATTCCCTAAGCCCCAGCACACAGAAGAAACCTGTAACCCTGGAGGTAGTACAAATAGCTGCTAGCTTGCTGGAACAATAACATTTCTGCTGGCTGTAATAAACTCTTGAGAAAAACACTAGTTCCATTAACAATTACTGAATGTTATGTGAGACCCTGGACAGACCCATCTTGAATTGCGTGTGTGCGTGTGTGTGTGTGTGTTTTAAAATCTTACTTCTCTGGGAAAAGCTCCTTTGGGAGTGTTTTTTGGCCACCTGGATTTTTGCTGCCCTCAAGAACTGGTTTTAGACAGTCAGAAATCAAGACTACAGCTGTGTCTTTCTAGGTTCTCTTTTTGTTCTTCAGACAGAAAAAAAGCAGATCTGAACCTGAAATAGTAGATAAATGGATTTAGACCAGAGGTCCTTGCTTATAAATTATGTAATGTGTTCCCAAAAAGTTGTATAAAGAAAATTTTTACACATTTCTATTAGAATATTTATTAGAGGAACCCAAGGTGCCCCTTTTAAGAAAAAAAATCCTTACTATATCACTATCAATGTGAATTTTTTTAAGTTGGGTTTGTTCAAAACAAGGTGCATATATATATGTAGAAGTAAGAACAGCCACCAGATGGTGCTAGTCCCTATTGCTAAAACATTGATTCTGGCTGTTTGAGCTCAGCCTTACACAATAAGAACTTACTACCTTGGGCAAACTTCTCCCCTTCTGGTCCATACTTTCCTTCTCTGTAAGATGAAGGGATGAATTCTAGGTCTTATATTTGCCCAGCCCCTGACTAGAGCAATGTCCACGTTCCTGTCTCTAGTCCCAATTCATCTATAAGCTTCAGCCTCTCCATTTCCCATAGGGTCCACCCTGAGGATAACAGCATAGGCAGGAGCTTCCTACTTGATCTAAGTCAGAGAGCACCTTGGAGAAGACACAGAGAGCCCTGCTTTGGACTTCTCTTTCCTGAACTGTGAAGGGGTTGGATAAGATGACCTCTAAAATGTCTTTCAGCTCTACATCCTATGATCCTATGACCTGTCCACCTAAGGGCAAATTTCCTGCCATTAGTGTTCCTCCTCTGGGTTAACACATCAACATCTAGATGCATAATTTGCAGAGCAGGGCCTTGAGAGAAGGAGGGACACAAGAAAGCTAAGTTGTGATGGGGGACAGGGGAGGAAAAGTCTACATGAGGGAAAGTGGGGGGAAAAGAGGTGGAGGTCCATGGCGAGGTACTCTGGACAGCAGAGAACACTACAGGGTAGAGGGAAAGGAGGCAGGCAGGGAACTGTTCAGCATGACATAGCCTCAAACAGGATCTTGCAAAGGATAAATATTCAGCAAGCATTTTTGGAAAAATAAGTGAATCAATAAATGTTTTAAGTTCCATTCTTTCTAAATAACTACGATCTAGATACAACCATCTGAAACTTACTCAGAGAAGGGAATTAAAATGTAATTGCTCACAGAACTTTGCATCATCCATAGTCAACAGAAGGAAGGAAATGGGCTTGGGGAAGGGGAGAGGAGATCACAAAAGCATGCTGTGGGAATGGAGGCTCACATTAACAGTGCTGACCTTCAGTAATGTGTTGGCTCTCCAGGAGGCTGGTATAAGTGTGAATATCTTTTTCTACATCAAGAAGATAGGCAGGCAGTGAGAAGAAAGAGCAGCCAAGAGACCCATCAGAAAACAGAAAGCAAGGTTGTTTAAGTTACGTGCATTTTGTTGACCTACCCATTTCACAAGTCCCAAATGCTGACAATTTTCAAGTAAAAATGGGCATAAAATTAGGAATAAAATATAAATGGGAAAACTTAGATCTAATAAAATATTATCCAAACACAAGAGGAAAACAGACAAAGGAACGTTAAAAATTCAGGCCTCAATTCAAAAATCCCATCATGAACCAAAGCCGCCTCCTTGAGGAATGAGGACCTGATGCACTTAGAGTTCCAGTTTTAATTTTAATTGAATGGAAAATGAAATGGAACATTGGAGGACTTAACTAAAGGAAAAATCAATACAGAAGTACTTTGGTGTTCGCTAACTGGACCAATCAATACAATCCATGGAAGCCTGTACTTTTTTCCCCCCTAAAGACTGCAGTGGACTTTAACACCAATCCATGTTTCAGCTTGGTTACTTAAAAAGATAAATGCCTTTACTCTGTTGCCTTTTAAAGGGCATGAATAGAAGGCTCAGTTTTCATTCAAGAATGTGAATTCTATAAACATTACAAAATCCTGTTTATTAGCAGTTTGAAATTAACATTTACCTCCAGGAGTAAATCCCTCAGTTAGTATCTGGACAGTTGAAATGTGAGCAATTTCAATTTCATAATGGCTATCTCCATCCAAAAACAGGTACCTGCAGGAAATAAAATACAAAGTTTTTCAAATCAAGCCAATTACCCTCATATTCATGTAGTAGTCACTGACAGTCTTGGGTAACTACTCCTTGTGTATTTACTGTGAAGACTGCATGTTTTCAACAGTGCTTCTGGGGAACAAGATTCTACCCAGAAGTAGAACACAGTCTAATAACCTTGGTACACAAGATGGTATTAGAATTTTCTCCCTCCCTCGTCACATACAATGAAAAAGTGGTGAGGCAGGTGAAAAGAACAGTAGGTTTGGAGGTCAGAAGATCCTGGATTCAGATTTCAGCTGCTGATACCTGGGCAACCTTAGGTAAGTCATTTGAATTCTGGGCTTCCCACGGTGAGTAGAGTAGAGGCTGGATCTTTGAAGTTCTTTCCAATTCTAAATCATATAGTCCTCTATACTGTTATAGTATTCCCACCCTTACCTTCCCAATCTGTACCTTCTTATAGAACCCCACTAAGGTTAAAAATAGAAAACCTGTGGTCTAAATACCTTTCTGTATGGTCATATCTACAATGATGTGATTTTTATTATATGGTGAGTCTGTGGCTTAAAGGGGGCGCCTTGGAGTAATATTTGGTCTTCGAATGAAATAAGTTTCCTTACAGCAGAACCAAAGTGTCCTGCTCTCTCCTGACAGATTTAAGACTGGGCTTCTCAGGTAAAATGGGGTCCTTAACAACAACAATTAGCAACTGATTAAGTAATTCATGAGCCATCAAGAAGTAATGCTATTAAAACTGAACCACAGTAAGTTAGAAAAAGTTATAGGAGCCATTACTAATCTCTCTAATCACATAGGCCCAATTACAACAAACAACCGTTGTGTCTGAAGGAGCCAAATTAGCCACGATGAAGAGCTCTGTAGATTGCAAGAGGCATTGTAACACACAGAAACAGCTGACTAATAGAAATATTAAAAATACTAAAAAAACATCACTATCACCCCCCAAATCCATGGCTCTTTCTAACATGCCTCAACCACTACTATTATGATAATTTGTGCTTTCTAGTATAAAATACATTTTCCTCATTGCCATCTTATGAGGCAAGCATTCCAAATGTTATCTTTCCTATTTTCTATATGAAAAAAAACTAAGGCTCAGAGAGGTTAAGCCATGACTTCTACCAATCCTTCCTATCTTTAGGAACACTATCTTTAAATTTTTCCCCCCAATACTCTTTCCCAAAACCCCAATTGTCAATTTTCCTACTCTCTGTTGCATCAAAACAGAAAATAAGTGAAGGCAAAGAGTGAGGCTGGAAAACAATGAATATGTGTGTAAGTGTGTGTGGGCAAGATTGGGAGATCTAATTCTGTACCGCAGATACAAAGCATTTGGTTTCAGCATATAGCCAGTAACACTCTTGAACCAGAACTCAACTCACAATTCGATGAGTATGTTGCCTAAATGTTACATGTTCTTAGTAAGAGTTGGTGACATGTGCAATTTATGATTAAGCTTTCATCTTAAAGAATGATTGGATTCAATATGTTAACAGTAAGCAAACACAATGGAAAGTACATAAATTAGGAGGCAAGTTAAATTGCTTCTGAGATTCATGTAAGAGATAGTGTGGTGTAGTGGTGGGAGTCAGAAACTTAAATGGGGTCCCACTTGAGAGAACTGGCTTCATCTCTCTCAGCTTCAGTTTTCTTAGCTGTAAGACGAGATATTACTTCTTGTATTACCTACCTACTATGGTTGCTGCAAACTTTAAACTGTTTGTATAAAGTGAGTCATTATTGCCAAACAATTTCTTCACAATCACCTTATGAGAGGCAGTGGCACTAGAAGTACTATTTCCATTTTAAAAAAGAAACTGATATTCAGAGAAATGACTCTGAGGTCACACAGCTGGTAATAAATGACAGAACTCAAACTTGAACCCAGGACTTCTGACTTAACTATGCCAATTTTGTGGTCTCTCAGAACCTCAGTTTTCTCATCGCATTTGGAACTAAGTGAATTGGGCAAGATGATATAGAATATCATATAGGCTCTAAAGATAGCAATATTTCTTACCTCTGATTATTAGACAGGCGACAAACCATCAATTCTGAATTTTCTGATGTTCCTAGTGTTACACAGAAAGTGGCTCCTTGAAACAGAAAGAAATTTAAAAGAAAATACTTATAAGTGTATTAGCTCTTAAAGCAATTCTTTCTCCTTATCAGGCAAATGATAGGGGGAAAAAATCCTATATCCCAGTTACTTTAGTAGAGGTAGATATCCTATTAAGTTTTCATGTTAAAATAGCTCTTCTACTTTACTTTGTAAGCTGCCTGATAAAGCAATCAAACGAAATTTAAGGTTTTAGAGAAATATTCAATATTTAATATTCAACAAATGTTAAGAATTGTTTTTATTTCTATCTTTTGTTTTTATGTTATCTGTATTTTCCAAAATATCTCTCCCCTCCCACACAAAGTCATCCTTTATTAATCATAGGTTGATACTGGTAGGTACATTCATTAAGCACCTACTATATGCCATGCACTATGTCAGGAGGTCAAAGACAAAAATGAAAGTCCTTACTATCAAGGAACTTTTAATCCTTATAACAAAAAATCATGAAAAGGAAAAAAAGCAGTTCAGCAAAAATAATCATCATGTCAATCAAGTCTTCTCTAATGTGATGTGTTCCACTGCTCGTGCTCCACTTCTGTAAAAATGGGAGATATCTTCTCCTATCTCTTGGTTTTTATAATTCCACAGTGTTCAGTTTTGATTTTTGTTGTTGCTCTTTCCAGTTAGTGTCTTAGTCACTGTGTATATTTTCTTCCTGTCTCTGCTTACTTCCCCTTTGTATCAGTTCATAAGTCTTCTCATGCTTCTCTGCATTCACCATTTTTACAGCACTGAAATACTATATTCATGTACCACAATTTACTTAGCCATTTCCTTAATCAATAGACATCTATCTACTTTGTCTCTAGGCCTTAACTACTATAAAAAGTGCTGTTCAAAATACTTTGGGGTATGTATGACATTTCTTTTTTATCATTGAGCTCCTTGGGATGAATGCTTAACAGTAGGACTTCTTGGTTTCTTTTCAGAATGACAGCGCTAAATCAGTTCCACCAAACATCAATTAATGTTCCTAACTTTTCCCAACTCTTGCAACATTGACTATTCCAGTCTTCTATAATCTTTGCCAATGTGCAGGGTGTGAAATAAAACTTTAGAGTTGTTTGGATTTACATTCTCTTAACATTGGTGATTTGAAGCAATCCTTCTCCCCTGTTGTTCCCATTTTAACAACAGAATGGAAGCTGTGGTAAAGTTTATCAAAGATGTGCTTTCTGAAAATCACATCCCCCAAGTGAGTACATATCTGAATTTTAGAGACACTCTTGTAAATTCAAATGAAAGGAGAATAACCAATGTTCAAATCATACATTCATAGAAACATATACACATACACAGTGTCCCAAAAGTCTGAGTTCAGTTTTAAGCTATTAAAGCTTTGATTGCTTGCTTTATTTTTGTCCTGGGCAGTGAAACTTCTCTCTCAAATAACTCTGTGTGTGTGTGTGTGTGTACTCATGCACACAGGGTGTCCCAGAAACAATTATTTAAGAGAATTTTCTAGTTTTTACTGTCTAGGGCAAAAAGTATAACATATACATATAGTAGTAAAACCTCAGCTATCTGGAGACTAACCTTCCAGAATTCTCCAGTATTGGAATTATTTTTTAAAAACCTTCAGTGGTATGTAAATTACATGGGATTAGAAATCACTGATATTGTTTAATTTTGCGACAGCAATAGTCCTGTGTATAGGCTCCTACTGACTGAGAATGTCTACGAGACAGTATGGGCTGGTTTCCCCATCTTCACTTAATCCTTTGCCAGCTGAGTGATGGATTCCATGCCTTATACGTGTTTTGTTGCTCTCTTTTGTTGTGTTTTTAATTAGATGGTTTTTAAGAATGGATATTATTCCAAGGCAATATGCAACAGCTGTAGCTTTTAAAGTACAGCTTCAATCCACAGGAGATGCTGCAAAGGCTGTTGATGTAGGGAAGTCAAGCACTTCAAGTGTTACTGAAGCCCACAAGGAAACAGGACCGGCTGCATTGAACCACAAAGGCAAATGCAGCTGAAATCAACAAACAACGCCAAGAACTAAAGAGCAAACTATCAGGGTGAAACAGCTGAGTTAATCCCCCCCAAATGAGCAAAGACCTTCAAAAAGACCTGGCAGCTAGGGTGAATGATTCCTCTGAAACTGAAAGGCCAACAAGAAGATGATTTAAAAAATTAAAAACTGCCAAATGTTTCTTTGAAGAAAAAATGCTCATTGTGTGCAAGAAGTTGAAAGATGACAAATTTCTTAATCTTTCATGTGAAGTGCAAGGCCATGTTACATATTTCATCTCCTTTTGGGAATTTGTGTAATTCTAGAGCAATTCTGCTTCTCAGTATTATCAGTTTATTTATCAGAATTCATCATTTCCTCATTGAGGATGACTTTCAGGTTCACTGGAAGTAAAAAAAAATTCCCCAAACAATTTTTGGGGTGGACTTTCGCATTCTGATGATGATGCCCAGATCATGACATGGACTTCTGACAAGTTTTGGGATAGCTCCAAATTGAAAAGGTGAGCTTCATTAGTAAAAATTACCTTCTTCTAATCTTTAGTACTCTCTCCCTCCCCTCAGAAGAGGACTCCAGACTACACAGCCCCAGGACCTTCAACCAATTCTTTAATGGCATGGTTTCCAGTTCCCTGCCGTATCCCAGTCGTGCTCCAGCTTGTCAACATCCTTCCTAAAATGTGCCCAAACTGAACACAATATTCCAGATGTGGACTGACCAAGGCAGAATACAGAATAATGAGGGACACTTCCCTTTCTCTGGACATTTATTAATGTGGTCCAACATTACATTAGGGTATTTGGCTCCTGTCATATTGCTGACTCATTTTAAGCATGCAGTCCACTAAAACTCCCAGGTCTTCTTCACAAGAACTGCTGTCTAGCTATGCCCACTTTATGTTTTACTTGGATTAAAACAAACAAAACACCTGCCCAAATGGAGAATCATACTGTGTCCCTACTAAATTTCATCTTGTTAGCTATGGCTCATCCATCTAGCCTATCAAAATCTTTTTGGACCCTCATCCTGTCATCCAGTTGTAGCTACCCCTATCTGACAAAGATCTGTCTTTATTCAAGTCTCTGGAAAAATGCAGATTCATTCAAGTTTTCTATAGGTTCCTCTGGCAACATAAAATATTCTAAGAGTCCAGCAGAGTCCTTTCACCAAACTAAAATCCATGTGTGACCACAGTAGTAGATAAGTTTTAGGGAGCTGCTTCTGGCACAGGGACAGTCCCAAAGCTACTATCAAGAGGCTGAATTTGAACCCAGATCTTCCTAACCCTAGAATTCTATCTGCTATGCCATGCTTGGCTATGGCAATAAACAAAAAGAACTACAAACAAAACTCACCACATCTTTTGACCTTACGATCCCACTGCTTGAAACTCTATATTGAGAAAGGTCCATTTCCTTTTATTGACAATTTCTATGATCTATATTCATGGATGCTTCAGGGCGAGAAACAAAACATATGTCCAATGACTACAGAATGACTAAATAGATTGTAGTATATCACTGTCATAGAACGTGATAATGTCATAAAAGTGATAAATATTAAGAATATAAAAAATAAAAAACATATACAATTATGCAAAGCAAGGTTAGCAGAAGTGGAAGAACATACATATTAAGTCAAGATTACATTTAAAATACAATAATAAAACCATAAGTATAGAAATGGAAAAGAGACTGAAAGAGGGGACAGACTGAATATATTCTTTCTATTCATATTAAGTTAATTTTTTAAAAAATCAAAATGTAAACAGCTCAGATTTCCTGGCTTCATCTGGAGTTCACAGTAGTTAAATATTTTATTTATCTATGACAAGTGTTAAATTTGTAACAAAAATATTTATTTTTAAAAAAGAAAAGAGGCCTAGGTCAGAAATAGGGAAGCCCCAATTGTAGTCCCAACTTTGCAGCTGTAAGACTTTAGGCAAGTTACTTTAACTCTTGGATTGGTTTTCTTATCTGTAAAATGGGCCAGGCGACTTCAAAGGTACCTTAAACCTCCAACATCCTACCGTACCCTATGCTCTGAATAGTCACTTGGCCTATGAAGAGAGGAGTGCTCTACTGCTTTAACTGGCCATCACTGCTTCTGGAAGGCTAAGGCTTTTCAAACAAAACGCAGAGAAGTGTTGGAACTTAAAATTTTAAAAAATGAATGTTAAAAACTGTTTTTACACGTAATTGGGGGGGAAATGGAATTTTTTTTAAAAAGCAGAGAAGTGGAGAAACAAAACAAATCATGGGATAGAAAAGACAAGAAAAAATAAAAGCAGAGAGAAGACGCCAAAGGAAAATACAAGAACGGTCCCAAAGGAGCTGGCTTTAAATCCCATCTCTGACAATACTTGTGTGACCCTGGTAAGAAATGACACCTCTCTGGGCTCAATTTCCTCATATATAAAATGAGGGGGTTGGACTAGATGGCCGCTGAGACCTGTTCCAGCTCTAGGTCTGTCATCCTATGTGAGAAGTGGTACGGGTGGCCAAGGCAGTGGAGATCAGAAGCCTGAACAACAGATGTAGATCGGAAGAAAAAGCTAGTCATCAAAAGAGTAGGAGTCAGAGGGGGCCAGAAATGGCCACGCAAAGTAGCTTGAAGGAAGTTAGTTCTACACCACCTCAACTGTGTGTGTGTGTGTGTGTGTGTGTGTGTGTGTGTGTGTGTACACTTGAGCACATAGTCTACTGCACCTCAGTAGTCCCTAAGCGTTCCATGATTAAAGGATTAAATCATTGGTTACCTAGAACACTGGTATAGAACTCATATAGAAAAGGGGCCACTAGACCACACACAATGGCCTGTGTGGGTTCATATTGATTTAGAAAACCACATAATAACACTGTTTCGCTGTATTTTTATTTATTTCATTAAATATTTCCCATTACATTTTAAACTGATTTGGGCCACACTGCGAAGTGTTGTGGGATGCTTGTTAGAACACTAGTCTCCAAACTTTTCTGATCAAGCAAAAAATTTTGAGCACACCTCCCCATACATATACTTATACATTATATACATATACTACTCTACTAACAATTACAGATATTAATTATATAACTTAGACATTTTTATAGGATGAGATAACAATGAAACATATTTGATGCTAGCATCAAATACCTGAGTTTACTGAAAAGGGGAATGATGACATGTTCACACTATGGCTTGAGGAAAATCTCTTCGGCAGATTGTGGAGAAGAATACAAAATAAGGATGTCAATTAGGAGGCTATTATTTCAATAGTTGAGGTGACATAAGCCTGAACTAGAAGGAGGACATAGATATGAAAGATGTTCTGGAGAAACGACCATATTTAGCAACTGACTGGATATGTGGGAAGAGGAAGAATAAAGAGTAGAAGATGACATGGATGTCAATGAACCTGGGTAATGAGAAGGATGGTGGTACTCTCAATGGAAATAGGAAAATTTGGAAGAGAGGCAAGTTTAAGAGAAAAATTAATGTAATGCGATCTACAATACAGATAGGAACTCACTGATAACTACTCATTTTGTGAAAGCCCACATATCAGGGGGCATTGGCTTTATCCAAAAGGTGATATATGGTGAGGAGAGTTTTTTACACATCCAGGGAAAGAACTGTTTGGATCAGGCAACATCATGATGAGGTCACATGATAATCCCTTCCACATGCAGCAACAATAAAATAAAACCATTTTAAAGATGTGTCTTTTGGAAGAGGGAATTGTAACAGCTTTTGAACAAAGCAAAAAATGAAAAAAAAAGTGAGGGAAGGAAGTATAAGAAAGGGAAATACATAAAACACATAGACACTAATCTTCTTGTCTGAATAAGGCTGAGGATTCAAGCCATTCAGAGCAACCACTCAAATAAAGCTTACCATTCATGAGCACTTTGAGCTGCTTGTCATAAAACTCCGTTTCTTTCTGAGACACGAGCACACACTCTGCGCACTGCCGTACAGGGTCCACAAAACACATCCGAGGTAAGGGTACTTTCTTGCTGCAGCATTTATCACAGAAGCACTTCCCACAGCGGCGACAGTGGTGCTGGGCAAAGGACCAAGAGGTCATTCATTGGCAGGGAGTTAGAAGTGGGATGGGTAAAAGCATGGAAAATATGGGGGAAGTGGAGAGATGAAATGAATGGAAGGCAAAAGGCAAGTCATTCAGGACCAAATGATGAAAATACTACCGTCGATGCCTACCTTGATTGCTTTATCAGCTATCCAAATGGCTGTGTAAAAATAGAAGCCACCTCTTAAAAATTACACTTATGGTAAAGGTCAGCCAGTCGGTTGTGAAAATGAAGATTAATGAGGGCCTCAAATTCATTACGCTAAGGCAAGTAAGGTGTCCTAAGGGCTCGCTTTGTCACCACTGTTAGGACATCGAACAAGTCACTTCCCTCCCTGGGCTTTCATTTTCTCAGCTACAGAATTAATGGGCTGTTCTAGACGATCACGAAGTTCCCTTCTTGGTCCAAGTTCTATGAAAATGCCTACAAAAGTAGTACTTTCTCCTCCTATGTATAGGAGATAGTGTCTAGGGTGGATGGCTCTCTCAATTTGAATCACAAAATTTTATATCTGAAAGGGACCTTAAAAGTCATCATTGTTCCATACAGGAACCTCTCTACAGCAACCCTGTAAGTGGTTGTTCTAGCTCTGTTCAAAAGACAGGGTGATAGGGAACTTAATACTTAATGAAAGAGACATTTTCATCATTTGGACAGTTCTAATTATTCTCCTTTATACTGAGTCAACATCTGCCTCCCTGTAATTCCCACCCACTGGTCCAAATTCTACCCTCTGCCTCCTGGTCATGCACAGATACAGAGAGGACCCAGATAAGTACCTTTCTTCACCAGTTAGAATATAACAGAATTTCAAGCCCTTTCATTTTACAGATGACAAAACTGAGAATCAAAGGAGGGGAAATGATTTATGACCCTTAAGGTCCTTAAGCAAGGAACAAATCTAGTGTTCCAACCCAGGTCCTCTGCCTCCAAACATAAAGCCCTTTGCTCTATACCATGTTCTTGTTTACTAACCTTCTGGAGGTTCAGGTTTAGATAAAATGCACAGAACCCATGTGAAGAAGAAATAAGTGATAACTTTGTTTAAAACAGAATAGCATTACTCCCAAAGATATGGATAAAAATGAAATTAAAAACATAAGCATAGGAGCCCCCTGAGAACAGCAACTCTTTTTTGCCTCTCTTTATATTCTCAGCATTTAGCAGTGCCTGGCACAGAACAGGCACTTTAAAAATGCTTGTTGAATGACTGACAAAGAAGATATCTACAGAGGAGGATAGTCCTGGTTCATTCTGCAATAATTGTTCTTAACTCTAAGGATTCACAATTGGCTACCTGAATAGTTTTCTTTCATTTGCAGGCTCTGAATCAGCACTGTGAGCTAACACTATACCAAGACATATTCTTTATTTGTTGTTCAATTGTGTCTGACTGTGACTAAATCATGCCAATACTGTTCATGGGGTTTTCTTGGCAAAGATACTGGAATGGTTTGCATTTCCTCCTCCATTGGATTAAGGCAAACAGAGGTTAAGTGACTCGCCCAGGGTCACACAGGTTAGTAAGTATCTGAGGGCAGATTTGAACTCAGGTCTTCCTGATTCTAGACCCAGTGCTCTATCCACTGAGCGACCTAGCTGCTTCTGTGTGTGTGTGTGTACATGTACACACACATACAATATGTAATATAATATATTGTAATTATATTATTATATGTTGTGTGTTATATAATATTATAATGTATAATATAATAATATAATATATAAAATATATCCTACATATGGTTCTTTATTTACCTACATCAACCGGCCTCAGGGCTTTACTAAAGAATTTTAAAGGTAAGTTCAATGTCTGCACAGAGGAATAATCCTCCACCAAAAATATGAACATGTTACTCACTCAGTGTTCTCTCTTCCTGATGTCTCAGTTTCCTAATATTATCTTACCTTTCTGGTTATGAAGTCAAACTTGATGTCACACTGCATACATCTTGGACACTAAGAGGGAAGAAAACTGTGTATTAAAATAAAACATACTGCAGGGTGGATGCCAGGGTGTTTTACTCAATAGTGTTGTGAGGCTAAAGATCAGGAAAACTCGTTCAAGAGGACAAGCTTTTCCCTTGGGCTTGACCCCTGCTATATGACCTTGGCAAAAGGGTTTCCTCCTTTGAGAAACAGTGATAATCCCTGCTGCTTAGAGCATGCTTTGGACATGGTAGGGAGGATTAATAAATTATGCTCACATAACAACAGGCCACAAGAATTCAGGAGCAAGATAAGCAAGACTGAGTTCTGCTTGATTTGAACAAAACTAACTGTGTCAACATCAGCAAATCTTAAACCCATAAGTAAAAAAAAGCATTAACAGCAGCTTACACTGGACACAGGAATTTAAAAATAAATTCTGGGTTTTATCCACATAAAGAAAGGGTTAACACCCTGAACTGCGGAATTTTAAAGTTGAAGGAGATCTCAGTAGCCATCCAGTCCAACCCGTACCCCCAAAAGAACCCCCGCTACAGCACACCCCACAAGTGGGCATCCATACTGTGCTCGAAGATCACAGATTAAGAATTCAAAAGGACCTCGGAGGTCACCTAGTCCAACCACTTCATTTTACAGATGAGGAAACTGAGGCCCAGAGAAGTTAGGTGACTTGCCGAAGTTCAAACAGGGAGGTAGTAAGTGATGAGGCCAAACTGGAACCCAGGTCTTCTAACTCTAAATCCAGTGCTGTTTCCACTAGGCCATGCTCCCTTGATCTCCAATGAAGGGGAATCCCTAACTTCCACAACCATCCAATATGCTTTTGAATAGCTGTAATTGTTAGGAAGTTTTTCGTGACATTAAGTCTAAATTAGTCCCAAAATTTGTAGCTTGAAAATGGCCAAAGAACAATTAACTCAAACTATTAGTTTTTGTGTTACATTTCCATTTCTTAAAAAAAAAAAAGAGAGAGAAGAATGATTTGGGGGTATGAGAGAATATCAATCAAGAACTGACTGCTTAAAGTCTTCTGTCAGTAGAATTTCTTTCATGTAGTGAAAATTCTTTCAAAATGAAAACAGTTTTACAAATTAATAGCCTTTAGTTACTATAACTTCTGATAGGGTACCACATTCCACTGAAATCAAATTTGTAAAACATTACAGGAGATATACGGATTTGAAAACATTTGCTACCTACCATTCTACTTCAAGGTAGTAAACTTTGAACAAGTTTATCAGCTAAACCTAAAATTCAACTGTCCTACATATTCTGATATTGTGACTTGATCTGGTACACCAAATTTGATAAAAATGAATCAACTCCTTCTAAAGTTACAAGGGAATTAAAAAAGTAAAAGGTGTAAAATGTCTAATATTAAGTTTTATTCTGCCAACTACATAGTAGCCTTCTATGATATTGCACCTTTCACACATTTGTAGTCACTTAATAAAAGTTTGTTGACCTGAAGGAAAATCTATCTTAGATTATTAACTACCAAAGGAGTTCATTAAAATAGTCTCCCTGCATGGATCCCTATTTCACTTAATCCTGATACAGGGCAGAAATCATTCCAATATGTGATGTAGAAGTTCTAAGCACAGTGCCTGGCACATAGTAGGGGCTTAGGAAATACTGACTGACAAGTGTTAACTACTAAAAATCTCAAGAAAAATATGATTGTTTAAATGCTCAAAATTAAGAGACAGACTATTAAGTTCAATATCTCTCTCACAGAGGGGCAGCAATAGCTTAGCTGATAGAAAGCCAGGCTCAGATTCAGGAAGACTTGACCCCTGACAATACAAACTACTGGTTGTATAGTCTTGGGGCCTTCACTTAACCATAAGTGAATAAATTGCATAACAGTTGCAGATCTACATGGGTAGAAGGAATCTCCTCACTGGGAGTTATACACAGTGACATCACATGTCCAGACTGTTCTTGTTACTACTACCTGAACCCCTCAGGGCCATTCAACATTCAACTATTGGGGATAATAACCTGCGTTCAAAAAAAAAAAAAAGACAAAGTCAGTATAAGCAGAAAAGGAGTTGGGCCAGTCATGTAGCATTAGTGAGAAATATAAGATAAGACAGTGTAAATTATGCATTAGCATCCAGAAAATATTAAAGAAGCTACAGAAAAGTCTCAAATGTGATGGGTAGATTTTCTATGGATAATCGATGGAAAGATAGGGACAAGAATCACAAAGGAAGAAAGGGAGTGGAGAGTTTGCTGCATTGATGGTCAACTCCTTCCTCAGATATTTACTATCAATATATCCCTGGACAAGTCACTTAACTTTTGAGCCTCAGTTTCTTCATCCATAAAATGAGAGGGGTTGGATCCAATGGACTTTAAGATTCCTTCCAGTTCTAAATCTGTGATCCTATGATAAAGTCATAAGTATCCCTAATACCGACTATCTCTCACTTATGTGTTGCCTTGTTTGTAGAGTACTTTCCACACAACATAATTTTGTTTGTATATTGAATATTAAACATCAGTTTTATGAGTTGTTTCCATTCGTAATAGCAGGAGTGATTCTTACTCAGCATGGTAATAATAGAAAGAGCACTAGCTTTGAAGTCAGAGCACAGCGTCGATACTTCTCACTTGTATGACTTTGATCAAATTACTTAATCTGTCCTTCAGTTTTCTCATCTGTAAAATGTGAAGATTGTAGTGCAATACTATTGTGCTGAAAGAAATGAGGAAATAGATGATTCTGAAGAGATAATAGATTTATATGAACTGACACAGATTGAAAAGAACCAGAAAAACAATTTATACTACATCAATACTATCAAAAGGAACAGTTATGAATACTTTTATAAACTAATAGAGAAAATGGGGACAGCTGGGTGGTGCAGTGGATAGAGCACCGTCCCTGGATTCAGGAGGACCCGAGTTCAAATCCGACCTCAGACATGTAACACTCACTAGCTGTGTGACCCTGGGCAAGTCACTTAACCCCATTTCCTAGCCAAACAAAAACAAAAACAAAAACCAAAAAAAAAAAAAAAGAAAATGAGTAGCACCAGAAGAACAATTTGTATAACAAAAACCACATTGTTATAACAAACAACTTTGAAAGCTAAAGTTTGAAAAACTAATCAATGTAATGCAATGACCATCCATGATGCCACAGTAACAATGATGAAACCTCTATCTCCTGGGTGAAAAAAAAAGTAGACTCAGGGTGTCCAAAGAATATAGACAAAACCAATGAAGGAATTTGTGTTGCTTGATAATGCACATATGTTACAAGGATCTTGTTTTTCTCCCCCCTCTCCCAATGGGGTAAGAATTAAAAAATTTTTAAACTTAAAAAATAGGGAAAAAGATGTGAAACTGGAGCTTAGAAGACAGATTAGATCTGAGATTCTGCATTTATAAGTGAAAAATGGAAATGAAGAAGTCTTTCAGAGTCGCTGTGTTAACTGAAATCAAAATAAACCCACTAGTTTTAAAATTAATTTATTACAAACCAACAGGATTTCTGTATAACAACAACAAAATCCAAAAGGCAATGAAATGCAGAAGAAATCTTATTCAAAACAACTACAAAATGCATAAACTATCTGGAGATCAATCTACCAAAGTACACAAAGTACTAGTATAGATTCAATTGCAAAGTGTTCCTTAAAAAAATGAAGAGTACATCCAATCACTCTGGAGAGCAATTTGGAACTATGCCCAAAGGGCTACAAAAATTACATACCCTTTGACCCAACAATACCACTTCTAGTTCTGTATCCCAAAGAGATCATAAAAATGGGGAAAGGAAGGGCAGCTGGGTGACGCAGTGGATAGAGCACCAGCCCTAGATTCAGGAGGACCTGCGTTCAAATCCGACCTCAGACACATAACAGTTACTAGCTTTGTGACCCTGGGCAAGTCACTTAACCGCACTGCCTAGGCCCCCCCCGCCAAAAATGGGGAAAGGATCCACATGTGCAAAAATATTTATAGCAGCTCTATATGTGGTGGCCAAGAATTGGAAATTGAGAGGATGCCCATCAACTGGGAAATAGCTGAACAAATTATAGTATATGAATGTAGTGGAATACTTTTGTGCTATAAGAAATGATGAGCAGGCAGATTTCAGAAAAACCTGGAAAGACTTGTATGGTCTGATGCTGAGTGAAGTGAGCAGAACCAAGAGAACGTTGTACACAGTAACAGTCACACTGTGGGATGAGTAACTTTCATGGACTTGGCTCTTCCCAGCAATGCAAAGCTAAGACAACTGCAAAAGACTCATGATGGAAAATGCTGTTCTCATCCAGAGAAAGAACTATGGAGTCTGAATGCAGATTTTTTTTTTTTGCTTTTTGGTGAGGCAATTGGGATTAAGTGAGTTCCCCAGGGTCACACAGCTAGTAAGTGTCAAGTGTCTGAGGCTGGATTTGAACTCAGGTCCTCCTGACTCCAAGGCCAGAGCTCTATCCACTGCACCACCTAACTGCCCCTGAACGCAGATTGAAGCATACTATTTGCTCTCTTCTTGTTGTTTTTTGTCTCTTCTTTCATGCGGTTCCTCTTACGGGTTCCAATTCTTCTTTACAACATGACTAATGTGAAAATATCTAAAGCCTATATCAGATTACATGAATTCTTGGGGAGGGAGGTGGAGAGGGAGGGGGAGAAAATTTAAAACTCAAAAGCTTATGGAAGTGAACGTTGAAAACTAAAAATAAATATTTTTTTTAAAAAAGAGTAACTTAAATAGTTTGAAGAATCTCTAGTGTTCATAGTTGGGCCATTCCAATATAATAAAAATGGAAAAAGCACCAAAGTTACTTTATGGTTTTAATGCTATATCAACCAAACTTTCAAAGAAATACTTTGTAGAATTCGATACAAAAACCAACAAACAAAACATATTTGGAAGAAGAAAAGAGACCAAGGATGGGGAATGTGCGGCCTCAAGGCCACATATGGCCCTCTACGTCCTCAAGTGCAGTCCTTTGATTGAATCCAAACTTCACAGAACAAATCCC